AAGTAAAATTCATATGAATGATGACTTTTTGAAAGGGAATTCAAACCTGAGATATATTCTCGTTTAGACAGACTATCTAACAAGATTAAGTTACGTCACAACTTATACTGTGAATATGAAGTAGACCTCAGTTTAAAAACCACTTCGTACGTAGGAATGTAGGAATTTATTTGTTATCTGAATATAGGTCTCAATGGCAGAAAAGAATTGGCTTCCGATCAAAGTTTCTTAATTAGTTACTTAGAGATAATTGATAATTGTAAACAGTAGTTGATAATTTGCTTCACAACGACGTAAACACATTCATATTTTCATTTGAAATATTATTCCTTCATGTTTCTGATATTAATTAGTAGACTTGTTTTTAATAGCAAATTTCCAGAGATCTTTTTATCAACAGATTCTTAATTTAACAGAACTTTCGGTAAATGTGGAGGCGGTTTCAAAACTTTTATAATATTCATAAAGTACACTGTAGAAAATTACAGCCTACATAATTTATCCACCAGTACAAAGACTTTATTAAATGGTCAAACAAACAAATTATAACTGATGATTCAAATCACATTCACTTGTCAGCTCAAAATGCTAGCCTCTCGTCTGGACACAATCAAAGCCATTAGACTCAAAGAACCAAATATAATCAAAATCATTCTTCGGCACTAAAACAATGTCACCCTCATATCTAGTGGTTATTACTACTTGCTTAGCTCGTTGTATAAAATAAAGTTCCCTTTGATTTCTAACTTACCGTGCAGAAATCTATATTCGGTTCAAATTTTGCTTAACTCATGATTTCGATGTCTGATAACATATACGTAACATTTTACCTCACTGTTGTCAAATAAGCAAACCCAGCAACTAGTCATTTATATTTAACATTGAAGAACAAAACCATTATTGTATGCTTGTGTTGCAAATTTTGCATTCTATCTATTTTTCTTTTCTGTTTTGGCAACAATGTGTAACGCGCAGCTAATGTAAATAACTATGAAAAACGTCTTGACAGGATGAAGAAAATCATATATATATATATATACTTATCAAGAAAAATACCGATACATTTCTTCCAGTAAGTTTAGAATTATCATTACCATATTTTTTATTAACATTGACTATCGAATATATATATTTATACTCTTGTTCATATGGTACATGTGTGTACTTGAACTGTACAGAAGTAGACAGATGTTGGTGATACCATAAGTACGGAACATCGATTTTCCGATATTTTTTTTTCTCCTTTATTTTATTGACCTACTGAGTCACTGATGGAACAATGCCAATACGATTCTTAGCAAAACTTGATTTTAAACGATAATATTCTCGAGAAAATCCATTCGAAAATTGAGTTTTTAAATTATTCAACAGACTGGTATCCTGTCGTTTAGACAAGAGATGAAGGTATATGCACATTTGACTTTTTGTTGCATATGCATTAATACAATTTGTCAATGTTTAAATATGACTGCAGTGGGTTCCTAAGAGGTAAAATGTATCTTAAAAAGTTTTCAACAAAGAATGAAGTTATAGAGAATAAACTCGAGTTATTTTCATTCAAAAAATGTATGATGCTAGTTGACTAAGGGAACGTATGAGTGGAGTGTGTAGATGAAAACTTATACATGGTTTTCTTACTGTTTATCAGTAAAACTATTTTGCTGATAGATCGTAACAATCATTGAGGAAAATACGTTTCATTGTTCTGAAACACATGAACTGGAATAAGTCTAAAATCCAAACCACAGTGATATTATAAACTCAGACACAAACCACTTAAAATATATTGAAAATTTCCACATTGTGAATTAGAATAACATACATGACCTAACAATATGATTGTCAATTAGTTCTTCACCAAGCTTCACCCTAACAATTGTAATTCTTACTTATTGTTTATTTATACAATCTATCCCATTGTTATCACTGATCTATAAACCACCTTAATTGGTTTATTATTTTCATATATGCATGTGAACATCATTGTATATCAGAGTAAAACCCGATGATGATCTAATTAAAAACAATAATGTTTGTTTATATATGTTGATCTAAGAAACCGCTTAGTTTTGGCTAACTTTCAAGGGGTTCCTTAGTATGATTAAAAAAGTTACAGAATTTTGTCGAAAAGGCTTTTAGGAACAAACCGGAGTGACACGTTAAAAGGTCCCAGAGATATATTAACCTTCATCTCGATCTAAAAGGTTCTAGTCACTTGATTTTTCCTTTGCTTCTGGATTATTATGTACTGGATATGAAACCTGAGATTATTTGATCAAACCAGGAAGTAATAAAGAACAAATGACGGTGACTAGTTCAACTTAATGTACAGCAGTTATTCGTTACTTCCTAGTTTTCAGTTGTTCATTGATTCATATCACCTTATAAAATCTACTTTAATTTGAATACCTGAAATGATAGTATCTTTTATAATTCATACTATCAACTATGACCCTAATAACTTTCATTGTTAAACATATAACGTATATTGTCCGTAATTAACGATTTAAATGTGAAGAGGCTTTATTTTCCAAAGTAGTTCCATAATTTTAAGTGACCATTCTTATTGTGTCACAATAATAATAATAATAATAATAATAATAATAATAATAACAATAGTTTGAGAATCATATTTTTATTACTGGTGTTCTATAATACTGAGGAGAAAATATTCATTAAGTGGATATTTTTAAGTCATTATAATAATAAGAATAATAGCCTATATCTTCGGTGTTTTAAATATGAAATAAAAACATTTTGTAAGGCATTTCACTAAAAATTTCTCAACCCTCTCAATCGATATCAAGTGTAGTACTTGTCATCCATAGATGTTATCATACTGGTACCCGCCTTCATCTCTTACACAACCATACACACCTGAATTAGACTAGCTTCGATCATTAACAAAATGTTAAAATGAAATTATTGTTTGAGCAGATTATTAAAAAAGATAAATACGATAAAAAACAACTTCTAAACCCATTACTCAATCAAACTGACAAAAGATGTTCTTTTCGAAATCGGTTATTTTGTAGTCATAATTAGTTACCTTTTATAATTAGAAGTAACTGAATTCGGTGCGTTAGCTAGTAATTCCTGGAACTATCCAGCTCGTACTCTAGTAGTTACGTATGGACCAATATCCAAGTCAAAAAGAACTGAATGAGCAAAATCAGAGCTATTATACTTGGAATTTGGATCAAGCACAAAATAATATAAAGAGAAATCATTAATACGTAATAACATCACTTTATCTCTACAAATATTTTTGAAAAATGAAATATGCTCTTAAGTCTGTTATTATACTAACAGTCGGAGCGTTCCTTTGTGTACAGACTCACCTACTGTTTAGCAAAGGTTGTGAACAAAGTACAATAGCATCATTTGCATAATTTCGTATCGATTAAGAATAGACGTTAAATATATATATGGTGCAAAAGTTGGTGTCGGGGATCTAAGTGGATCTATTTCTCTTGATGCCCATAATTTTGAATATCTTTTTAACCAAGTGATTGTATCCGATGATGATGATAGTGTTTAATACCGGAAAAATCACTTGAGTTCAATATGATTAGAAATATTCAATAACCAAATTCCACAGCTAATAAGAATATCAAGACAAGTTTTATGCATATTTAGGCAACTGAAATACCGTTTTGATCGCAATATAGCTGAGGGATTCAGGGACACACACTCACACGAGTGTAGATGCCACGTTTTGTGCTATAAGAGGTGTGTTTTTCTAGGTCATTGAAATGTGTCACATTGAAAAATATCATTAGGCCGGGTAAAAATGAATTGTACTATTGGGTTATATGTAGCTATCACTGTAATCATATTAATCGATTCCTACTACCGTTTTTGTATGTAAATGATCATTTATTTGTTTCCGTTACTCAATATTCTGTTGCTGAATGTTCTACTTTTTCATTCCTTTTTAAAACATATACTTAGACTTAAGTATTTCCATTCAAATGCTTAAGGAATATGGAACTCAACCTTTTTGGTTTATCATAGTTGAAAGCGTGTGTCAATTGAAGCTAGACCACTGTGGAAAACCTGGAAACACTGGACGGCCGTTTCGTCCCACTATGGGACTCCTCAGCAGTGCGCATCCACGAACCCGCTCTCGCAAGCGAGATTCGAACCCAGGACCTACCAGTCTCGAGCCGAAGCCCTTAACCGATAGACCACTGAGCTGGCATCCAACGGTGTTAATGTCTAACTTCAACTGATCCACGAAGTTGAGCAACCATTCACCAATTGTCTTCAGTGAGTTCCTATCTCACAACAGACGTGGTTTTGAACTCCACTGGTCACTGCTTCTCACTAGAGCTCCTAGATATACTTCTCGAAGTCACTAGTGAGCATATGATTATATTTAGAAGAGGATTTGTGGAGATTTAGTATTTATCATAGTTGAAGTCAATTGAGTCAATTGAAGCTAGACCACTATGGAAAACCTGGAAACACTGGACGGTCGTTTCGTCCTATTATGGGACTCCTCAGCAGTGCGCATCCACGAACCCGCTCTCGCGAGATTCGAACCCAGGACCTACCAGTTTAGCGTAATTAGCGTAATTTTATTTCAGAAATTAACAAACGACCAATCAAAACAATCTGCGGGATTAATACTTTCTCTCTGTCGTGTATTTTATCTCTTAAATTCATACAATTATATAACGTAAGTAAAAAAAATAGTCAACTAAGCAATTAACTGTAGTTTCATCGAATAATTCACAGTGCTCGTAAATTTCATCCTTGGTAGTCAGACTTATGTTTGCACTCAAGTAGTGTGAAATTTGTTTTCGACCAGACCAGTGAACTTTGATCGAAGATTCTAATCTATCAGTCCTATTCTGCTTGTGTACAGAAATTTGCTTTCTCTGTCACTCGACACTCCCTTCACTTGAATATATCACCCCTTTCACTGAATATGTTTAACCAATGACAAGCTAATGATGATTTGTATGTCCACACATTTCTCCGCATTCTTCACAGTTATATACATTTTTCTTATATGTGAAGGCAAGATAGAAAGAGAATTTAAAAAAAACAAGCGAACACATTGGAATCGAAATTTAAAAATAACCTGAAAGATAAACTATTAGTGTTGTTCACTCACTCTCTCTCTTTATAGACATATACAAATATACGCACATGATAAGCATAAACATACTCTAACATTGCGTAAATCTACAAATCTTAAACATCTGTTCGATTCATCGAGGATACACATATAGGTATAGGTATACGGTCAATCATAAGCTTGATATGAATGTAAACTTTCAAGCAAACATGGTAATGGGGTGGAGAAAACAATGGAAAATCGTTCAAACGAGTAGCGAATAAATGAATGAGTGAGCAATAGATGAATGAGTGAATAAATGAGAGAGTAATGGTGGACAAGATGAGTGAACCATCACAATGTTTAAGGCTGTTTAAGTAATTAAGCTATTGAACGAATAATTATTAATAAAATGTGCACCAATGTGTGTTGTATGTATGTACAAATATTTTTGTATTTACGTATAATTGTAATAAAGATGTCATTTAACACACGAAACACATTTATTTTCATTTGAACTATCGTCGACATTCATTTGTACAATATAACTACTCGGATTTGTACTCATCATTTGGATAATAATCTTTACAGCAAAGTAAGTTTATAAGATAACTCGTAGAAATAAAAGTTATTATTATAGTAATTATTATTGTTATTATTGCTAGTCGATTGACTAGATTCTGAAAACTGTTATTGATAATCTGGTGATATATACTTTGTTTAGTAACCATGATACTGAGGCTACCTTTAAGATCATTCGTAATGTCTCATGTTTTCTTTTAATTACTGTGGTTCGCGTCAATCATATATATTAGCTAATTCATCTGCTTGGTGAAAAGGCGATTTATACACCACAATGTTAGTTTCTTCAGTATGTAATTCCCCCAATGCAATATAAAAATCCTTATTTTTATTAATTTCTAACTAATCTGGAATCCGTTTATGTAAAAATGGAGTGACAGATGATGAAAATTCTTAAACGTGTATTATTAATCTTTATCATAATGGTCGCTTCTTTTGAGCATATTATCTATCGCACCCAAAGCGTGTCAGAAATATCATTTCCATATCGCTGGTACATGAAGTCCATGGATATGACGCATAGTGAATTGGATGGTTTAGATTGACATAAGAGCCCTTATAATTATTAGTTGATTATCTCCAGAAATCACGAGATGTAAACTTAAAGATAACAATTAACAAGAAAGAATTCCCTTTGCTTTGTATAAAGCAGTTTCTATGTTTTACCCCAAGGTATGAATGTAATCCATTTTCGTCAATTACAAAGTGGCCAACTTACACTTGTATGGCAACAGATAGTGATTCGAACTCCAAGCAATTAGGTACATTTTTCTATCGCACTCTAAATTTTCTTACCTAAACACTTTCACAACTCTTTGAAAGTTAAGACTTCATCAGCCCTCATAAAACAAATGAAATCTAAATCCTTCCATATTGGTATTAGACGGTAAATTAATAACTACTTATTGACTTTTATACACAACGTGATCTTGTTAGCCACATCTAATGGATAGTTAATACTATTGCCACTAAATAATTAGCTAATTACAAAACAGTTTTGCATAATATGAAAGACTTTCTGTGTCATACATTAGATAATACATAATATCTAGTATTATTTATAACAATTTCATGCTAAGTAATCGAATATCAATTGCACGGATAGAATTACAAGATTACGAAGACAGTGTATATCTGTCTGTAGATTGGGCAGACAGCGTTCATTTATGTTGAACGTTATGATGCACAGTAAGGGGTTAAAAATATGATCGAGCATCATAAAATTTGAGGAATTTATTACATAGCGTTCTCTTGGTACGTACGTAAAAATTCCTTTTTGTCTTTTTTTCCTTGAACCGTTAGAAAGTGTTTTACCTTTACAGCTGGTATCGGTCATTTCTCAATCTTCAACATGTTCAGCTCCACTCTAGCTAAAGTACATCAGTACACTCAGTCAACTTCTGGACAATATGTATTGTGTTTAGGGAAATTTTAGGTTAGCAAATATATCACAGTAAACTTGTAAAGATATCTTTTTCCTCTTAAACCCACTAATTCTAATAAATGATTCAATTTCGGTATGAAGTAAGAGAAACTGTCTATCATAAAGGTGAGTGAATTATTAAGAGAACATAAGTGAGATACTCATCTTATTCGTTTAAATCGTCACAACGTATACGAGAACATTCACAGAACAAAGATTGAATTACATGTTGTGAATAAATCTAAAACTAAAATACTAATTCTTTTACTGAAGTAATAAAACTTCACTTTGGTAAAAAAGAACCTTCTGTTCACACTACGATGATTTCTTTTCTATTACTAATAAAACAAGGTAAACATAAACCAATCGATCAGTCTAATTTTCAACTACTTATGAGTAATGTTATTGATGGAATTTTTATGATTTCCCTTTTATATATTTAGGAACTAACTTTCCAAACATAAAGAAAATCTAATATTAGTATCTCAGTTTCAATGTTAACTCATACAGAATCAATAATTAGTCCACTAATTTGCCATAATTACAGTCTGTTTAATAAACAAACTCACATGTACCACCCTATTATATCTGACAGTTCCAATCTACACAGTAATGAGATAGCCTCTTGTACAAGTATTCATAAAAACAACAACAGTGATAGTAGTAACACTGCCAATATAATTGATAATTCCAACAGGATTAATTTACATTTCAGAAGTAAGCCTGATTATACAGGAACAGCATCAGAGTCACTAAAGAATATAGGTCAGTCTTTTGATTTTGGAACAAAACAACTGAATAATAGTAGTGATAACAATGATCATCATCAAAGTAATGAATCTCAGTATTATCAGTCAATGCAGTATTTAAACTCATGTCTATTTAAGTCACTACAATTAAATTTTGCATCATCCAGTGAAGCATGCGACGGCTATAATCATCAAAACAAAGAAATAAATGAGGATCTTTCATCGGATTATACAACAAACAATTTATCACATGCATCAAGAATGAGAAATAATGAAACTTTAAAAGACAGTCTGTCAGCATCAGTTATTCCAGTCAAAACGTCACCGTCTCCGTCAACGTCATTACCTGTTTCGCTATCATCATCTAATATGCATTCATCATTGTATAGTGAATCAAATGGAGTCCATCTTCCAATGAACGATTTATTCTCTTATAAACAAGGAAGAGATGAAATATTTAATAAACTTGAAACGGTGAATGAATCACTAAATGTAAGTCTATTTGTGTATGAAAAGTTTGGTTTACTCTTGTCTTTAATGTTACCTCAATTTTATTACTACAGATATTGAAAAGAATACAAGTAAACTATTTACTAAAATTTTAAAGCGTTCTACATGTAGTACATTGGCTTTTTATACTGCAAACGAGTCGAAATGATAGAGTTTTCCATTGAAGCACTATAGGACAGATGTAAATATTGAAATTAATTACTACAGATTATTCATATTATCTATATGCACCAATATTGTGACGTCATAATTAAAGACAAAAGTTACTCAACTACAGATGGAGTCGATAACACGAAATACCTTCAAATCAAATCTAAATTTAATGATGATGATGAGAACTCTTGAGTTCTGTATGCCAGAGTAAGTATCAGTAAAAAAAACCCGGACGATGGTAGTTTCCACCGGTTGTTTGTGTGAATAAGAGAAATTAAACTTTTATGTCTATTTTGAACTGAATTAGATATCCCGGAGTATTAACTTTTGCCAAATAGATTGAGTTAGTTTTTGTTTAGACCTTTAACTCGTTTTTACTCCTATCAACAAGACTAATGTAAACATATTGGAATCACTCACAGAATACCTTTCAGATCATTATTTAATGCATTTTCATTTATATATTGTATCTATCACCAAAGAAATGTTTGATTTAATATAAATTCATAATCTCTGCTTTATATATACAGTTAATTATACTGTTTCGTGATCTGTCAAACTTTAAATTATTTTCATAAATTGTCATGACTATCCAATCGGTTTATTGGCAAAACAACCTTTACTTACTTCCCTACTTAATATTCAGAGCCCTCAGATGAGCTATAGACGACCGACAAGTATCCTGAATTGATCTCTGCCCCCATGCTTTTCTTTCCAGCTGGCTTCAAATCAATTCCATTATTCTGTTGCATTCTTCAGTCGTCATTTTTTAACACTACAACGTACATATTTTATCAATACTTATCACACGGTCAGAATTACAGTGATTAATAGCTAGATGTTCTGGTTGAATCAGGAAAGCAACTGTTTCTAGTTGAATGAAGAAATTCTTTCAATTCATTCCAGAATGTAAGTCATACGTTACATATTGTATAAATAGAGTGACGGTAACCTATTGGACTGCCAAAATAGAAGTAAGTCTCAAAAGCTGAAGCTATTTCGATCACGAACGACTCAGTAGGTTTATTCTAATTTTGCACTTTAAAATCAATCTAATTCTGGTTGAGTATAAAGAGGGTTTCAATTAGGATAGTGGTAGCTTAACAGACGTTACCATTCAAATTTACTTTTTGTTTATTAACCTTGAATAAATTTTAACAACATTCAACATCAGTATAGTTTGATTGCTATCACTCCCTTATTTTACAACTATCTATTATTTAGTGGTGGATAGTATTGACAAGGTTCCATAAAGCTTTCGCATTTATAATCATATATCTCCTTGTAGGGACAAATACTTTTATTACTTACAGCTGGCAAACATTTATTATCGACCGTACTTTACAAGATTTTTTATTCAACTATAACCACTAAGCTTTACGGATACTCTGAGAAGTAATCTATTTTTCAAGTTCAAATCTCGAACAACACTTCCCTGTGTATTAGTAAAAATTCTGCTTTTTCAGAGATGTTGAACTATCTTGGTAATTAGCTGCAGCTGAAATAGATCTTTCATGTATGTATATGGATTAAAATCTGCAATCTATAAATTTTGAGGAATCATTTATGGACGTTGAAAAATATATCACTGGACCTGTATTCCCTACTTTCGAATACTAAGGAACTGATCACTGTTTTGCCATTTCGTGTCATTTTCCCCACTAGTAAAACAAATATTATTATGTACATCTAATGTATCTACAACCTTATCAATATCTCTCTAAAAAAACTTTACACCAACAAATGAGAAATAAGCTAGTATCTGAGTTTGATCAACTCAAAAATTCGAACATTCACAAGAGTATCTTTATAAAGCGCTACGGAGATAAAAATGTTGCAACAATCAATTCACTCTTAAAAGCCATGAATTTGTAGTGTACATATGTTTATACATAGTAATCAATTTCTCCGTTATTATTTTTATTGCTTCACATCCGAAGGTCTGTGTTTTGCTTAACGATGATCCTTATATTACATACTGAGAAGTGATTATATTAAACATAATCACTGAATGTATTGAGTAGAGGTTGACAGTTCTCTGTAAATATCTTCCTTTATTAAGAGTAGGTTTCGTAAATTACGTATAATATATTTCGAGAGTATTCTATCTAATTGTGATATTTGCAAATTATGTGAAATAAGATGTTCCCACCATTCATTTGATTGGTATTACTGACCGCAGATTTAGGAAATACCTATTTACTTTTAAGAATTCAAAGTACCTAAGTTGGTTGTGATATTTAGGTTACATTAGTTTCTTAATAACTTTCGGCTTCTGACCATTTTGCAAGTAGATTGATTATCATCCAGTGGTTAGAATGAGTAAAGTCTATGTATATATTCAAGTCTTTCAGGTGTATCTCTGATATCATAGTTGATTGTTTCTAAGTTTCAGTTTTAATTTAAATAATTCCAAATATTGAAAAAGACAATTCCAGGTTAAATAAAATTTCTCAATTAATCAGTCTAATATGTATACAGTTGGATTTGAATGGGATTGTCAGATGATATATTATCGTGTCATTTAGACTGAATTATTTTGTTCCGGTTTTATTTAATGATAACTTAATGCACAGTTGAAACAAATCGTCAATTGAAATTTAAGACAACCATAGTATTGTGTTAATGAAGCGTAGTAATTTATTATGTATTTAACCACGAATAGGTTTCCTCTCTTTTCATAATGATCAATTCATTCCATATGTATTTTTTTTTTAATAAAAAAAATAAACAGTTGAAGTTATTCTTTTGAACTTTAAACACTGATCTTCATCATAACAACGAAGCCAGTTATAATTCAGTCACCTATTTGCCTCAGTTGTTATTATTTAAATATTTGAAATGAAACTCTCTTCTTTTAATGATTAATTTAATGTAGCATTTTAATTTATTGGTGAGTATATCTATTTCTCAGTCATTTAACCTTTATCCTACTCTCATTTATCAAATCATTTTATTAATTCGATGAACTGAGAGAAAAATGAAACCCTACATTTGTAGAAACTGAATGAAAAATATGTTACATCATTTATGATCTGTTTTTTGTTGTTGTTGTTGTTGAATGACTGGAACACTATGGCTGAATAATAACGATTTCACTGTTATGCTCTAAATGCTATGGTATTTATTGAAGTACCTAAAAGTTGATGATTAGACTGTTTTACATTACAGTCTGTTATGATGAACCTAATTGGATCATTAGACATGAGATTTATTTTGTTTGTGTAATGAAATCAATAGTTATAGGTAAAAACTTATAACCTGTGCATATTTAAACAAAATGTTAATTGGATGATATCTGTACTATTTATTAAAGATTTATTCATCACTTCCCATACATCTGATAGCTTCAATGAGATGTGAAAGTGGATATAAAAGAAAAAAGACTAATTACAATCATCAGTATCTAAAAACTCAATAGCACGATATGTTTATAGTGATATTATTAATCATATTTAGATTATTAGAAAGGAAGATTATGAAGTTACATCAGATTACTTCTAACACTGGAGTCCAGGACACGTGTTCCGTCCTATTTGGGACCTGTCAGATGGGTGTACCTGAGTGAGATCCGGTGTTGTTAAAACTTGTCACTAAATAGCACTAATAGGGTTTTCTGTGTAGGATACATATATGCCCATACAAACTTATTAATTACCATTCATAAAATCTAAAACGGGTAAATACTATTCCTTAAAAATCAGTTCACATCCATTGGAAAAACTAAAAAAACTATTTGCACTCAGTAGCTAACTAGATAAGAAAGTAGTAGGCAATAGGTTCGAAATTTTGTGTGGTTCCCAACTGAGATTTAGAAAAATTAGTCGACGAGTGCCAAATAGGACGAAACTCAATTACTAGCTAAAATTCAAGTGCATCAAAGCTCTTGACTAAATTGTAACGTTGACGTAATACATTCTGAATGCACATATGCCGATAGGGCTGAATCTCAGTCATTTCAGTAGCTTAGTCTATTGAACTTATTTTTGTAATGGTGCATGAACTTCAGGTTAAACTAAATTGATCAAATTAGTGAAAATGGGTCTTATTTTAACTGTATAAAACTTAAAGTGAGTAAGTGAGCAAATAGTGAATAGTGTATAAGGGCAGTTATTGAAATTTCTGAGTTCGAACATAATTTTAATGCCTTGCGTATAGGTTAACGGTGTTTTTTAGAAGCATGAAAAAGAAACAACAATTTTCAATAATAATAATAATAGCATGGAATTATAAAATGGTTAACTTTTGTATTCAATATACCTAAATTACGAGACTTGGTAATGAGATTGTACCTTGGTAAATTCTAATACTTTTAAAAACGTATAGTTTATCCAATTCGTAATCAGGTACTGTGGGACATGCGTTTCATGAAGTCTTGTACAATTTACTATTAGACGATAAAAACGATACGTAAAAACTAAAATGGATTATATCATGAAATTTAGAAACTAATATAGCTCTTCTAATTGTTTCCACTGATGTTATTTAGGTAACTATTTGGTTCAATTATTATTTTATTTTATTCTAAATACCAAGGATCAAACGTAATATTTATTCTGTTCCACTACTCCTGTTTCCGTGTTTAAAATGTAAATAAAAGTCCTGACAACAACAACGAAAACCATTTGTTAGCCAATTTTCTTGCGTGTTCCATTCATCGCCACCCTTTCTCTTCATTAGTGTCATACTTTTATCTCATATCACAAATAAGCAAGAGAACTAAGTAAACGGTACGTAAAGTAATCAACAGAAAAAATTCCACCAAATGGACAGTCATTATTTAATTCTCGAGTTAAATCATATATTAAATAATCATCTCTTTGACCACTTTCCTTAAAGACATGTTAACATATTGTTGTCATACTTTGGCTTGTGGTAGCAACTATAGTGGTAAGAGAAAGAGTATAGATTAGGAAAGGCGGAGGACACAGTTGCGTGATCCACTTTCTTTTAATTAATTGAATAATTATACCCTTCTCAAATAACTGATTAATTTGATTCACACTGGTTTGTAATTGTATTGTACCTCATTAAAAACTAGATTTATTATAGTTATGATCTAGCTATAGGAGCAGGTTTCAAAAAAGTTGAGTTTCGAGACCTAGCAGGAGGTGGCCAATTGACAAGATGGTCAGATTAGTGATTAATAATTGTTTGCACTAGCAGTACGGAATGTTGAAGTAGACATTTTTCTATCATGATGGTCATACTAATTATGATAACGAATTTTTTACTAATTATTTACACATCACTGAAGTTAAATATACAACTGAATGACCTGTGCAGTCGGGGACTGTTGATTATTGTGTGAATGAGATCACTGACCATCAACATAAAAAACAAATTTCACACAGCATATACAAATGGTTTTCTTTTGGTCAAACGTCCTCATATTCTTAGCAAAACGATATGCTTAAATGGAAAAATCACTTCATTTTTACCGTTTTTCTATTAGTGAAAATTAAGGAGTAATTATTCATAATCAGTGGTAGTTATCATGTTACCAATCTGTGTTTGCTTCTCATTGACTGTTGATTAGAAAATGTGATGTCTTTATATGCGAAAATATACACCATCTAGTGATTAAGACATTTGCTGTAATTCTAGTTAACTAACATGTATCACAGTTATTTTTCATACTGCTTGAAGAGATTTGGAAAAATTTACCTGGTCTGAGATTTTTCGACATTTTTCTACGTTATTTTTTTCAGTATACGATATCAGAGATCTTTTTGCGTGTGCGTGTGTGTATGAATTCATCTATGAAGTGTTCCAGATTTAGTTCAAAACAGTAGGGAAATATCTCATATTTTTTATTAATCATCCTCGTAAACCAACAAGTTATGAAGATTAATTTCACGAATTCCATTTACTAAAACAAAAGTTGAGTACAGTCTACCTCACAAAAGGTTATGAATATATGGTTTAGTGGTAACGTCTCTGGTAATGACACTGACTAATACAAATCTGAGTGCATGAGGAGATCCGATTATTTCTTTTGAGATCATGGTTATTATCTTACTACTGATGAACGCCAATGTCAGATGAAGTCTGCTTACTGAAACTTGATTAGAATTCCAATTCGGTAACAAATGTTTGATCGGGGTCATAAATAAGTAATATTCATTAAACTTAGTGGCTATTAGAGTTAGACATTGTTTTACTTACAGTATCATTAACCTGTCCCATAATATTTACTTTACATTCCAAACAAGATAAGTTATTGTTTAACGAAATTCACTAAAAAAGGATTTCATCAATGAAAACTTATCTCTTAAAAATAAAACGATTTTTTTGTTGCCACAAACGGTTGTTTAGCTAATATTGTTTGTTTAAAAAAAACAATGTTGAAAAAAGTCAATGGTTATCGAAGTTTGTTGCTGGGCTCGAATGACAACAAGTTGTTGTTATCGTTATTTCATTTGGCTATATCACATGTGCACGCCATCTGCGAACTTATTTACATTAAAAATAAAATTAATTCTGTCAGTTTATTATTCACTGCTATAGTAATCAACATTGATTGATTTATTGAGTTATAATGACTTTCAAAGGCTTGGTTATACAAAAAAGTAACACAAAAAGACTATTCTTTTCGACTAGTCTTATCTCTGTATTCATTGAAAAAAAACCAGTGAATTTTTCTCCCCCCTCTATCGTTTTCTCGTTTGCTTTTTTTGAATGTGTATATATGCAAACAAACTTTTACGCTTAATTATTGTAAACAGAGAAATAAAGTAAAAACAACTGAACATATTTTCAGTTCTTATTTATGAATTAAATGAGGCTTGTTCAATTAAATATATAGCTAAGCTCGGTCAGTCAGTAAATCAATCTGTTGACCGGGTATTAAGTCACTTGACTTGACAACAACCATAAACAAACAGCACAACTTTTCTGTTTTAGCAGTTTTTTTTTCTGATTGTAAATGGAATGATGGGTAATGATTTTATTATCATGATTGACCATATAGTGACTGACTCAGTGAAATTAGCCAAGATATGGATTGAACTAATAAACATGTGGTTCATTCCGAGATTTCAATATTCCGTTTGAAGTATCAGATTTATTTTTCTACGAAAAATACCAAAAAAAAATATTTCCCTTAATCGACATAACAAATAACTTTAAGATAGTTAACTGATTTTATTTAGCCGAGAAATTACACAATCCCTGTTTATTAACTTTACCATAAATAATCATATTCGAATGTAGAAAAATGGATCATATGAAAGTAGAAAATTTTAAATAGAATGGGTATCGGTACGAGAAGGGAAATATAGAGGAAGATTTCTGGAACAATTATAAATAACATTAGGAATTACAAACAGCTAGCAGTTGTTTTCATTAGTTCCCCCTATAGAAGTTGTAATCAGATGTCAAATGATAAATGATGAATTGGTGATTTGTTTTATTTTAATGTGAAGATTGGGGCTATTCTGAAATTACTGCTAATGATTTACTTCAAACTATTAAATTGGAAACCAAGACTCATTAACGTTTTTGATCGTCAACCAATGTTTTTAAGTAATACAGAATCTCAGTGAAAAAGATTCGAAAATCAAGGATGTTACATGATTTTGAGGGAAAAAAATGAACTCTCACATATATAAATTTTTCAGTTTACCATAATATAAATGTTAAGGAGTTGATAACTTAACTTTGAGCACATTTCAAGCTAGGTGCAATCCCTTGGTTAGACATAAAAAATTTGCCATTCAAATAAGAATAATTCAGTTGGAATCTTTTTGGAACACAATTTAAATGCATTCTATAGACTAATGATCTGACAATGAATGTAACATCTGATCAAGGTAATATAAATTTGAAAATTATTATTTTATTAGTCAATAAACAATCTACATCTATTTTAATTTAACTTGAATGTGTTACATTTCTCAAGTAAAAAAACAAAGGGTTCCTTTATTTATGGTCATTTTTGTTATATATATCTATATATTTTGCATAAGACATATCACCTCTGTCAGAGTGTTAGAATCCATAAATTATAAAAGTATCCCTTTAGTAGATAAATTGGATTTGTCTTAAGGCAGAAACAGCAAGAGATAGACAGTGTCCATGTGTGTGTGTGTGTGCGTGAAAGAGAGATAGAGAGAGAGGAATCGACTTGTGACAAGAAATAATTTTAATTAGAAATTCTTTTCAATGTTATTTTCTGTATACTTTTTATATTAGTTCGCAATTTCTTACGAAAATAGTTTATTTGTTTCTCATCATAAATTAAAAGGTGAAAACTGGGTCAATAGGCGAAAAAGAATAATTTCTTCAAAAAATATTTTGGTTTTCACTTTGAGATCTGTGCGTAAGTATAAAAAACTGTTACTTATAGAATACAGGTGATGATGAGAGTGGAATATAAATCTGTATCCAATAGATGGGAGAACAATAGGAAATGTGTTAAACTTTATTTAGGACCAAGAATGGAAGTAAAACTGTACATAAATTTGTATTCCTGTTCGTTTAACAGAAAAATAAATTTGTCAGACAATGTTACATAATTATATCTTATTATTTATATTCTGACAACAGAATGGAATCAAGTGCTGTCCATTAACTTTACTCATTCTAAAAAATATCCATGTTCACCAGTTCCAGTATACTTACATAAGATCTTAGTTCTTTGGTGAAAGACTATCGATACTAACTCTAGAGGATGTGAACGTTATGGAATAAACTAGCAACAAAAAGAATAAATGATAGGGTTACATTGTTCGCAAAATGCCAGTTTCGCCTTGGAGACATTTTGTGTTAGGTGAGATATAAATTTAACACTAACAGAGATAATGTGAAGGTGTTATGCGAGAACAATAGGTTTGAAAAATTACTAGAATGACTTGGATGGTCGAACCAAAATTCCAGTCGACGACAAAATACCTAACCAAGCCATTCTAATTATTTATTTATCAGATAACTAGTAATTTATTGATAAAAAACCTGGAGCGTTGAAAACAATTAAGGAGGGCGTAATTCTGCTTGTTACATCAGAACACCTTTATTCATAATGAGTTGAATGTGAATTTGCAAGTCTCAACTTACTTTTTTGGTCCAGAGGGAAATGCTTTTTACAGTTATGCTGGAATGATATTTTTATACCTCATTTAATAAATCAGATCCCATTCTACAAATACAGATGGTTCATTTAGACATTATATTATGAAACTCAACAGATATGAATAACTTTATCGATTGAAATTCAACTAGGTTCTTCAGAACGGTCACTAAACTTCATCTGTCTGGGATGGTTCGGGCTACAGTTGGATCTTTCACTGGGTAAATGAACAGCTATAAACATACCAATCACTTACACTGCTAGATTATTTGTAGTGAATATCACACTCTAAAATCCAATACTTGAAGAGGGATATTATTTTAGGAGACCAATGTTTCCAGAAAAATAATAAATTCCTATCATTTCTTATTTTATCATTTTCATTATTGGTTATTTTATACCGTTCTGTAAAGAGACTTTGTATCTTATTGTGAAGACTACTTTTCTAGTAAAGTGGGGAATTTCCAACTAGTTCTTTTTCTTACTGTTTTTTATTTATAGGAATGCCAGAATTCTCTAACAGAAGATCTTTCGCTTATGCTGAATTTCCCTGATTCAATTTCAGATGGTAATCAATCTTCAAATCACTCTCTGAACAATAATAATAACACAAGTAATCACAACAATATTATACACCATACAGATGAAATAAAAACCAACTTAACTTACACAATTGATCGAATTTTGTTATCGGAAAACGAATCACCAAACTCTGATTTGTTATTAAGTGTATCAAATCACTTAACTAATACACTAACAGATTCAAACAACAGGGAAAATTTAAATCAATTTAATTCCGTTAATGTTGATACTGGAAATCAGAGTTACGTAAACAATGAATGGCTTTCTACTGATCAGTTAATTAATGGCTCTAATTCTACTAATAATTGTAGACCAACACAACCATCATTTCCATGTTCATTGGCTGAACAATCGTCATTGTCTTCTTCGTCATGTTCACAAACAGGTTTTCAGTTTTGGTTTGGCATATTTTATAAACTATGGTTAGAACAATTTAATCAAATCCAATCAAAACCAATTGATTTCAGTCAGTCTGTGTCAGGGATGAGTTCGAAGAAATCAGACGAACTTCAGCTCAAATCATTTCCGTTTAGTAATAACATAAATATTCATGCTGATAACGGTAGTGATATTTTTCCGTTCAATTCACCAATGCATCCTTCAGTGAATGCCTCGAATGGTTTTCGGACGTTAGAAAGTTTCACAGAAAATCTTTTTGTGAAACCATCTCACATGAAAGAGGATTCTTATCACCGATCAGATTCATTGTCTCTAAACACTAATTCTACATTGTCCCCTCAATCATGTTGTATTACAAATGATGTCAGAAACAATAAACGTAATCAGAACGATAACTTGAATGCTGACTCTGAATACAAACAACAATACTTATACAGAATGTGCGAAAATGGTACAAATCTAAATACAGCACACTTTAGTGATTTAAAAAATATTTCTGAGTCAGTTTCTCGACCTCCTCAATCAAAAACAAGTAACAGTCCAGATAAAAATGAATATGATTATCCTCATAACTTATTTTCATTTCAGATGAATAAAATTACAACTCCATGTAGTAATCCTTTGATGACAATATTAACACCATGTACGAAGCAATATAGTGAGCACCATTATAATTACCCACTACCTACTTCAAGTCACTCTCTTCCTTCTCAATCGATAACATCGACTGAAAACTCAAAATACTCAGTAAATATTGTACACAAGTCATCGATTTTATCTAACTATAGATTACATTCAAATTATTCAAGACTACGTGGGAAATCCGTGATTAGTGGTAACATTTCAAGTGATAACTTACAACAACGTGGGTACCGAGCTTTACCATTCCCATTAACAAAACGCGATGGCCGCATGCATTATGAATGTAATATATGTCGTAAAACTTTTGGACAATTATCTAATTTAAAAGTGCATTTACGTACACATACAGGTGAAAGACCATTCCGTTGTGATACATGTCATAAAGGCTTTACGCAGTTGGCTCATTTACAGAAGCATAATTTAGTACATACCGGTGAAAAACCACATCAATGTACAGTGTGTGGAAAACGTTTTAGCAGCACAAGCAACTTAAAAACACATTTGCGACTACATAGTGGTGAAAAACCATTTGCGTGTAAGTTATGTACAGCCAAATTTAGCCAATTTATTCATCTAAAATTACATCGGCGTTTACATGCAAACGAAAGACCATTTATCTGCCCAAGATGTCACCATAAATTTCTCGATTCCAAAGGACTGAAGCAACACTGGAGACGAGGAATCTGTTATTCTTGCGAAGAATTACCTCCAGGTAACTGGAGTGACATGGATGGTGATGAGGATGCTACTGAAACTCAAGTCAAAAAAATGCCTTCTTCAGTAAGTTCCAGTAATCACCGACAACAACAGCATAAGCGTTCAGATAGAATTTGTGATATGGACATTACGGAAAACAGTGATACTGCCGATAAAGGAACTAATAAAAGACGCAATTTTTCCACAAATATGATTCCAATGTATATAACACCATAAAAACGAGAAAGAGGTATACCTCTAGTACCTAGGTGTAATAATTCTCTGAAGGTTATCGAAATTGTCATGAATACTTCAAAACAGATTTTTAACTAAAATTCTAAATGATCCGGGTACACCTTTTTTAAAATATGGCTGTGTAACATAAAAACATATTTTCAATTCTTGAAAGAAAGACACAACTTTTCCAATCTTAGATAACTAAACAAATAATATATTCAAATACCTAATTGTATATTATTTAAACTAGTGAAAACTTGCGTCTATTGTGTGATTTTGAAGTGAAATACAGTATATTTTGTTAACTGATTGTGTCGATTTAAGACTTTCAAAGAAACTTGTGAATATACAGTAGCAGAATATCGAGATTTAGGAAAAACGAAGTAATTTTGACTATAGTGACTGCAGATATCTGAGATTTCGATGAGAATCTATTGCTCTAAGGATTAGCTTGACATTCTACCATGGTAGTTGTTATCTTATTCAATCTTTCTAAGGTTCATGAACTTATGATTCCTCGACTATACAGAAAAAGAACAGAAGGATGGAAACATGATGAATAAGAAGTGCTAAGTTGTTAATGAAAATAAAAGTTAATACATAACAAAATTTACACGATATTCAAAACAATTACTTTGAACTATCACATTTGTTTAAACATTAAAAGACAGAGTGAACCGTTGTGATGTACGCTCATAGCCATATTAGCTGGTTGTTTCTTTGATATAAAATCACTAAAGTGGCCACGAAAGTACAATCTCTGTAGCTTTGTTATACACGAATGGGAATTTAAACCCACTCACTAAAACATACATGTAATTTTCAGATATCGATTACTTTTAAAAGTTATTTCTCGACTAATACCTTTGGCCGGTTCATTCACCACTCACCAACCACATTTATTCCATATTGGAGAATCCTAACACATGAATTTGATTCCGTGACAGAAGTTTTCGTTCATTTAATTTACTCATAATAGTTTAGGAGTGAGCATCCAGAGTTCTCACGAAGTACGTTTACAAACCATAGGTTTATTTTGAACACAACGTGTTCTAAGATTCCTAAACAAAGTTTCTGAAATATTTTGCCTTTCGTTAGCGCCTTTATAGCTTGTGTAATCTAGAGCTAAAAGCTGGTCAACAGAAAAGTTATTCTCAAAATGACATTTGGGAAAAATATGTCACAGAAGTTGAGCTGCGTGCCCACGATAAACAACATTCAGTGATCAGTGAAAATGACGGGTTTCGTCCGCTCTCACGGCACTGAGTAATTTCATGTGGATGCTCTTCAAAATCAGGATTAACAATGCTTTAGCTACAGAACGCAAAAAATTGTCACATGATTCCCTTATAGAATAAGTCAACTAGTATCATCATATCATAGAATATGGGTCGGCATGAAGGGGTAGTATGATTATGTTGTTAAATTTACTTCCTTACGCCTGTTACCCCTCGTTGAGGAGCATAGGCCTCACACCAGTATTCTCCATCCAACCCTGTCCTGGACAAACCTTTCGAGTTGCTTCCAGTTGTTATTCATCCTTTTCATATCTGCTTCTATTTCCCGGTGTGATGTGTTCTTTGGCCTTCGTTTTCCCTCTTCCCTCCAGGATTCCAAGTTAGGGCTTGCCTCGTGATGCAAATCGGTGATTCCCTCAGTGTATGTCCTATCCACTCCCAACGTCTTTTCCTAATTTCCTCTTCAGCAGCAGGCTGGTTTGTCCTTTCCCATAAAACACTATTGCTGATGGTATCCGGCCAGTGAATGTTGAGTAGTTTGCGCAGACAACTGTTCATAAATACTTGTACCTTCTTGACGATGGTTGTAGTAGCTCTCCATGTTTCAGCTCCGTACAGTAGGACTGTTTTGATGTTCGTATTGAAGATTCCCACTGTGAAATAAGCTGACAGTTGTTTTGGTTTCCATATATTCTTCAATCGCAGGAATGCGGTCGTTGCTTTGCCAAACCTCGCCTTTACATCTGAATCAGATCCTCTTTGTTCATCAATGATGCCTCCCAGGTACGTGAATGTTTCCACCTCTTCCAGAGTTTCGCCATCAAGTGTGACTGGCTTGGTGTTCTTCGTGTTGTATTTGAGGAACTTGCTTTTACGTTTGTGTATATTGAGGCCTATTGATGCAGAGGCTGATGCTACGTTTGTTGTTTTCGTCTGTATTTGTTCGTATGTATGAGGGCTAGGTCATCTGCGAAGTTTAAAACGTCTAATTGATTCTGAGATGTCCATTGTGTTCCGTGCTTCCCCTCAGATGTCGAGGTCTTCATAACCCAGTCAATCACTAGAAGAAAGAGAAAGGATGAGAGTAAGCAACCTTGCCTGACTCCGGTGTTTACCGGAAATGCATCTGTCAGCTGTCCTCCATAAACGACTTTGAAAATGCACCACCGAAAATGTCAGCAGTCTACTTCATTCCCCATAATAGGAATAACTGAGCCTCTAATAATCATTGTCGAACCTTTAAAAATAAGACGAACCTTTACTATCATAGTAATCAGGAAAGTAATTCCGACATTTCTTGTAACTTGTAACTCTGAAGACAATTAGTTTAATTACTAGTGCCTAGTTGTTATTACTAAATAAATCCACGGGCAAGCAATCAATATTGCTTTGACCTATTTTCGTCTTTTGAAAACCCGATTCACTAAACGCTGGCTAGACAAAGACTAGGCATCGAACTAACAACGAATGAAGTGTTTTCATTCCATTAACCGCTCCCGACCTTGGCTACTACCCTGAAGTGATGATCGGGCTCGTTTATCATGATGAACCAATCGGGCTATACTGTCTGAAACAATCGTTCCTGAAGGTCCTACCATGCCGGGCAGGTCGGTTTAAGAATGACAAAACTAATAGCAGAAAACCCAAGGTCAAAGAGCGAAGTCATACTGCTAACTGCGCGGAGGTGTGACGACAGTAAGGTGTTTCCCCTCAGGCAACCAGCATAACAGTGATTCTGTGGAGAAGTTGGAAAAGACCGACCCTAAAAATGAACACCTCGCCTTATTCCATGGATTCCAGTCTCCAAGGGCGAGGTCTCAACAAGTACGGAGCTGACACAGAAATCACCCACAACAAGGTCGTGTGTGACCAGCCTCAAGCAATTGTCCCTTGGGTACCGCGGTCATTATCAGGTCACGAAGATCAACTTTAACCCTGTTTTCTTTCCAGGAACCTCTGGAAGAACCTTCCCACGGGGAGTGATAACCGAATTCATGCTTCTCACAGCATCCAAGACCACTATATTCATAATCAATTTTCATAACCGCTACGTGAATTCATTTTAAGATGTGATTGCTGACTTGTATCCCATGAAAAAAACTCACTAACTGGTTCCTAAAATGATAATATACAAAGAAATGATTGAATTCGTTGAACAAATTAGCATTAGTGAACATTGTATAGGATTTTAATTAGTTTACATATCAGTAGTCTTAACTTTAGGCCACCCTTCTAATATCAAGACTAAGCATAAACACAAGCCTTTGTAGATTTCAAGTGATGGAGAAGACAACACTCATGTATTTCTGATAATAAATTGTTGTCCAACTTAAGTTGCTTTAGGATATAAAGTACACTCGAATTATTATGAAATCCTAAAGCCGTCAAGTACAGAAACAAAATATGACTCTGGAGCTTAGTGTTTCATGTGGAAACCAAACCCACGATCTTTCGGCTCTCAATGAAACGCTTAACCTATAGGGCACTAACATGGGTCGGGATAGTAATATAAATTTAATCATGTATAATCAGTACAAAGATAAATTCATGTTAGTCAAAGTCTCTTAAGTTCAACAAGACTGAAGTGTTACGGATAACCATTTTCTTTGGTACTTCTTTTTCAAAGTTGTGTAACCTGATGTCAAACCAGCAATCGTTTTGCAAAAACAAGTGAAATGCACTATAGAGGACAGAGCACTTGCAATTCAAACCTTACAGCTTTATGACCGTGTATTTTGCTTCAATGATTTTTGTATTGTTTTGTACCACTAGCTTTTACTGCAATACAGGTGCTGAACTCCACTTTTAATTCTTAGCAGCTACTGTAACGATAACAGAAAATGGAGAATTTTTCAGTTCGATTGCATTCAAATACAAATGAAATCTAAAACACTCAGTGTTAGTGGATTGAGTGTGTTCACTTCGTTCAACGTTTTCATTGTATATTAGTTGCAGAAACAAATGTAACGTGCTAGTTGGTACATTGTGAAGGTAGTACGTTCATACAATGTTGTGAACGAACCCGAAGAAGAATACTGTCTCTCTCTTTTGAAAAAATAAATATATGGGGACGATGGGTGACATATGCTGAATGCGGGTTTAAAAATTCAATGAACAGACATATTCACGGATAAAATCAGCGTTTGTTAGTATACAGACACATTGCATTTGTCAGGTTCTTTTAATGGTTATGCTTTTCCATACTTTAAGAAGTTGAGCTCCGTTCAAACTACGCTAGCCTTTAAGTTATAGGCTCCACCCTCATATTTAAGAAATTTAAAACCGCCAACCTTTTGCTTCGTCACAAATTAAATTTCTGTATTGTTATTTTCATTTCAGATGACTCAGTTTGAAAAGAAATACGTTCTTTAGAAACTTTAGTAATTTTCACAGGACTTGCTGTAGTGAACGAGAACATAAAATTACAGAACATCTTCCTAAAATCTAAGAACTATACAGTAAATTCTTCATCTGCAAAATGTCAGTCAGTCGTCTCAGACTTCATCGTCCTTTCAACTTCACACTAATCATTCTTTGATTTTCTTAACCTTCTGCTGCTAGGCATTTCACTTTCGTTGATGATGTATACTACTTGTATCTGTCGACATCAGTAGCACACACCGCATTACAATAGTTCAGTCTATGATTTTGAAATTAAGTTTCAATAGTTGACCAGGAGAGAATAGCTTTCAAATTGTAAATCAAACATAACGAAATGATAAATTAACTGAAATGTAATCTGTCGATCGCAAATCACTTAAACACATTTATTTGGTTGAACAATAAGTATGATTAAAACAAAGTAATAAAATGTCTCAGGAAACATTTATTCATATATTTGAACAGTATATTTTATTCCTTAACAACATTAAAATATTTATCATTTACATTTGCTAACGAATAGCTATACTTATTTAACTGTTATTTACAAACCCTATGATAGTCATCTGGTTAACTCATTCTTAACGGTTATCCGTCTTTCAGTCCACTCATCCTTCAGTAAAGTTACTTATTCACCAAAATGCGGGTTAAAAGGTAGCAGTTACTGCTGGTAATAGCAATGGCTAATT